CAAGATACTGTTACAGGTCAGGGAGAGAGAGGCACCACCAAACCCCCAAACCTGTGTGCTCTAAATAGGGTCTGCCATCTGCCGCATCAAAACAAGCCGTAAGAGCTTTAATGGAAAGGAACTTTAATACAGTTAGTGTGCAATACAGAAAAGAGTATAGTTTCTAAATCAAACACCCGAAGTTACCCATCCCCTCATGGGTAAAAGTCCACCCAAAAGAGATTGGCCCAAAGAAAGGCTTGAAAACCCGCCAAGCTTTACTAAAGCACCTTTTGGCAGGGACCTATAGAAACGGATCAGAAGTGGCCAGACAAGTCTGGGAGGAAAAGAGCGAAATCAAAATCAAGTTAAACACTGCCATAGTGAACCTCCCCCTGGGTCTTTCACCCACATCTGTTTCAACCAGTCCAGGACTAAGAAGCAGCAAGCACAGTTTCTTCACATCTCTCTGTTCCATGTGCATTCCTCAGGTTAACTTCTGGCTCTCCATCCTGCTTTCTCCTCCCTCAGACTCTTCCCAGGATTCCTCTTCTCTGTTCGGCTCCACCCTCCTTCTGGGTGGGGGAGGGAACCTGGAACCTCCCCTTTTCCTGGGTCCACCCAGTTACAATACCAGCTGTCACTGTCTCTGCCCTTGACAGCCTTTCCACATGTATCTCACCCAGGTGTCTTTCAAGTGTCTCTACATGTCTCTTCTTCACACATCTCTTCCAAGTCCCCTCAGGTTCTTGGGAGCAAGTTCAAGCTGGAGAAGTGCCCACCCTTATTTTTCCCAGAGCCCATCTGCCTTCCATGTTATATAGCTTCACCTAGTTACTCAGCTCTACCTCAAGTTGCCACTAGCTAGTCCCCAGTGTCTGCAAATAAGTGGAGGTGGGGAAAATGGTAGCAATTCATTGTGTTGCAATGCCCTACACCCTTTCAAATTCATATAAAGTAAAGCAAAGCAAGAAGCATACTTGATGTTAGAGGAATAGTAAGGAGCAAATTCCACATCAATGTGTGAAATCATAGGCAGGGTGGAGCTTTCCTGACTCAACCCTATCTCTCCTGAAAGGAGAATGCTGGGAGCTAAGAACAGAGCTAAGCCACCATGCTGACCTTAAAACATGGAACACACGCATGCTTACTCTCTTATTAGCTGGCTTGTAAGTGCGCCCTGGTTTCTGACCACTGATGCCACTTTCAGGTATATTGGACTACATCTGGTGATGTGCTGCTCTGTAATTTTTCTTTCAGCTCTCTTCTTTCTGAGTGAATAAATCCTTTTTATTTATCTTTGTATGTCATGCATTCTTAAATGTACAAGTGAGAACTCACCAATACAGTCATCTTTGATCCCTCCCCCACCTGCTCCATTGTTTCCTTAAAGATTTATTTATTTGTGCATACAAGAGATGGGGTGTAGGCCAGAGGTGTGGGGGGAGTGTGGAGGGGGCTTGTGAGAGGATTCACCAGAGTGGGGAGCAGAACAGGCAAATCCACTAAGATACACTACAGAGGGGAGCAGCAGGCAAGATCTACTGTACCATGTGTTAGTTCCCTGGCTGGGGATTGAACTCTTGTAACAGTGGCTGAAGAGAGCCCGAGAGCACTGTCTTAAACCCCTTGCACCACCAGGGAGACCCCTGGTACTTTTACTCTCTTATTAGGGTTGGAGGAGAAGGAAACAAAAAGAAATCCAAGTGAGGTCAATGTCTATACTATCAGATTTGGATAATTCTTCCTAGTGGCCATTTTGATAGAAAGATATAGCTATATCTCAAAATATGATTAAACAAAATTAATTCTAATACAAAATTTAAATTGTAAATTTTCCATTAACTGAGCATACTATTTATAAACTAAGTATACTATTTGTAATTACCTCAAACTTGCATTTCTTCTGAGGAGCAATAAACCAATTGCTTGTAAGTGATAAAAAAAATTTTTTTTTGCTTTAACATTTTTTATATTCTATTAGGTAACAATGCTATAGCCAGTATAATTTACTCGGGTAATTCATTATTATGGTACACATTAAAATGGTGCCTTTTCACAAACACTTTGGAAAACTTACATATTAAACTTGAATACATGTAACTCATGTATTCAACAGAAATACACATATACACTTACCAAAAGACTAGAAATTCCTCAAATGCCCATCAATGGTAAAATATATTTTGAATATAATAATTATGTCAGTGGAATACTATACAGTAATGAGAAAGAATGAACTACATTCACTGATGCATTAGGATGAAATGAATGCACTAATGCACTGATAGGAATCTCACTCTTGTAAATTGAAAAATAGCCTCCAAAATTATCCAGGATTTAATCCCTGGAACCGATGAATGCTACTTTGTATGGCAAGAGAAAATTTGCAAATGTGAATGAACTAAGGACTCTGAAATGGGAAGACTGTTCTGGCTTATCCAGGTGGGGCCCAAATGTAGAAGCAGAAGATCTGAATATAGCAGAACAGAAGCTGATGTGAGGATGAGACCAGAGGCTTTGAACATGTTAGAAGGGGCCATCATCTAAGAGAAATAGGTAGCCAGTGGAAGCTAAAGACAGCAAGAAAATAGACTGTCCAATCACAGCCTCCAGATCCAGGACCCAACCCCCTGATAACTTGACTCTGGCCTAATAAAACTTTTGGACTTCTGAACTAAAGTACTGCAAGAGTATACCCTATTTAAGGTCATTAAATCTGCATGATTTGTTACTGTGGCATCAGGAAACAAATACACTAAGAAATACAACGAATGATGAGGAGAAAAGATATTATGTATAACTGAACTTACATAAAATTAAAGATAAGTAAAATTAATCTATGGTTTTAGAAGTCAAAATAGTAGTTAGTTCTGTGAGGAAAAAGAAGATAGTGTTATGAGAGGAACAAGAGGAAAGTTGCTAGGGTGCTTATAATACTGTCCTGATTTGAGTGCTGGTGATAAAAGTATGTTTAATTTGTGAAAGTCCGTATTTGTGTACCCTATGTATGGTACATTCAGTTTTAAAATCTGGACCCTTTTCAACACTTATAAGTCTGATGATCAGCTAAAAAAGATATAATATTCAAGGAGGTGAGGAAAATACTAAACATTAATTTTATTTGTCAAGAGCCTAAAGATTTTCTTTCTCCAAAAGATTTTTAAAATCTCAACAATGGACAGAATATAAGAGACTTTAAAATGCTAAACAAAGAAACTAAAAGTAAAGCATTGCTAAACTAGCTTTGTTTTGTTTGATTCTTAGGACTTTAAATTACAAAAATACAAGTAAAACCACATTTTCTGAAATAACAGTAAACAAAGGAGAAGTCAAGTTCTACATACCAAATGATCAAAATGTCTCTGGGCCTGAAATTCTTGAAAGTAATAAAAATGGTAATAGGAGAAATCTCTTGCCATTAATATGTACAGATTATTAAATATAAAAACAATTTATAAAACACATCAGAATTTTATTGCTTGAAGAATACAGCATATGAAATCATGAGAATGTCCAAAAGAAAAGTTACTATGCTTCAAACATATAATACATTATCAGATGCAGTAAAATATTAATTAACCTGGACTCTGCATCAGAAAAAAAAAGGTGTGGAAAAATAATCCAAATTGTTTACTTAAGAAACAGATATACTTAAAATAGAAAGTATGAGGATGTTACAGTACAAATTAGAAAAACCAACACTTATTTCTTAGACTAGACTACCTTTGGTACTTAAAACTTTAGGGGGGAAAAACAAACATCAGTCCCTTCTCCTTGTCACTGCATGGATACAATATCAACTTCAACTTAAAACAATGTAACCTAGAATGTTCAGCAAGATCAATCTTTTCATAGCATTGAGAAGAGTATTTACTGAGCTGCATGACAAAATTTCACTTTTCCTAAAACTGGAAAATAACAATAAGAAATCTAATACTTATAAAACTTATTTAGCTCTCTCCAACTAAAACTGGAATACTGGCAGGCGCCATCTATCTGTGGGTTTGGTGAATATAGAGAAATTTAAATGATTTGGCAACTGACATAGAAATGTATACTATCATAAGTGGCTTTTCCATTCTGTTTCCAAAATACGTCAATATGCCATGTCTTTAATACACACCCTATAAAAATCATTACCATACTTTATTTACTGGAACCAAATTAAAGTTTCTCCCTTTCAAGGTGATGATAACTATGTTTCACATAAGGTTGATCAGGTATATAACACACTTTCTTAAACAAAACAACAGATTTTTAAAGCTATCACTCAATTATGATGGTGCCAAATGATGCCTTTTCAAAAGGATGCATTAGACCTCTGGGTTATCTAGTCAAGAAAATGTAAAAATAATGCTAAAAACAAACAATAAGTAAGCTATAACTACAAGTTAAATTACAAAAAAACCCCTTTTTTATAGCAAGCATGCTCATTAAATTTCATTTCTTTCCCCCAGTAAAGGTCTGAATATTCATGAACCTCAGTTAAACCCAGGGAACCTAAGTAATTGTTGCAAAAATTCCAATAAACATGGGTGGACTAAGCAAGTAATACTATTAACAATCACTGGATTGGAGTGAAATAGTAAGAATCATAACAGTCCTCAAAATTGGGCAGTTTTTGAAATAATGTAGCTCAAGATGAATTTATGCCATAATAAAACTATAGCTTTTACTGCTACATAAAACAAAGTCAAAAACATAGTCCACCAAATTCATATAACTAATAATTCCAAACTAGTTTTTGAATGTCTTATTTTGAGATTTTCCTAGTTATTTTTTGAGCATATATGTGAATTGTCTGTATATATATATACTCATTTTAAAAGACCAAAAAATTCATATGCTATAGAGCTGAATTCTGTTATTCACCAACCTGAGCTAATGTCTACTGCATTACACAGCATGCCCTCCCAATAATTTAAAATCCCCAATTTGTATTTTAGTTAAAAGGGCAGAGGAAATGCAATGCAGACTTTGAGTTTCTGTATAAATTTCACTGCATTTTTATAAACTTGGAAGTTTTCTGTAACACTGTATTGATCAAATAAAGGACTCACTGCTATCTAAAATTTCATAAACGCCATTAAAAATTCAAAATCGATATTATACTGAACCTTAAATGTTCAATAGTTCAAAGAGACAGTTTTTATATTAATAGCACACAACAGATGAAACTTAACAGCAGACATCCCTAGAATACCAATGGCAAGTCCACCAAGATACATACGAAATTACAGATAAGCATTTCTTTCACTGTTTTCTTGTGCAGAGGATAACATTTATAGAGGAAATAGGAACTCAGCTGGTGAATTTCAGATATCATCATCATCTTCTTCATCCTGAGAAGATCCTGTCTGGTTGGATGCACTGGCTGATGCAGCAGCAAGCTGAGCTTGCTGGGCAGCTTGCTGCATTTGAAGCCATTCCTGTTGAGCCAATTCTGCTTGTTGCTGTCTAGCCTAAACACCAAAAAACATAGAAACAGATAATTTTTTTTTAAAAAACTCACAACACATATATGCACACTTTGGTTATATGTACATTAAGTCAATTGCGCATGTGGTCATTATCAAATTTGGGTGCTTTCCAATCACTGCACATCTAGAGAACATGAACTCTAATATTCTTTTCTGTCAACCATATGGGTCTAAAGAGAGTTTCCAAAACCTGGTTCTTATAGATGCACCTTTTGTGTCACATAATTTATGACTTTTAGTTTAAAGAAAGAACGTGAAAAGGTTAACGGAAAAAAGTTCTTTTTGGTTCATTACCCTGTGCTCCTACTTTTGGTTTCACTTGATTCTTCTGTCCTTTCAACTTACAAAAGTATAAACACTTGTCAATCAAAAAGTTATGTTTGCATTAAAAGTTCTCTAATTTCAGAACATCTAACTCTTAAGGGAAAACACTGTATATGAATGCAATAGCTACGTTAATAGCTCTTTTGTGTTTCTATCAGTTTACTACTCTATACTTAATTTCTCTCTCCCTGAAATATTTATACATACATATACACACATATCCTTTTCCACATACACACTAGTAAAAAGACACTCATCTAGCACTCATCTAGGACTGAATTAAATGGGATAGCTCAAATCTACTCACATGTTATAATCTCTATAAAAATAACCACAAGACTTTAGAAACCAAAATGGATATATATATGAATTACATTATACAGGTACAATAGCTTAGAGGTCCTTTCTCAATTTACATTCACTATAGCAATATCGTAGGCTCCTTTCCAATTTGGTTTCATCCAGTAACAGAAAAACTAACAAATACACACACACAAAACCCCAAAACTATTCTTGAAAAATCATATTTCGGCCCTCCCTGGTGGCGCAGCGGGTTAAAGCACAGCACTGAGAAGCTAAAGCCACTTCCGCATGAGTTCGATTCCCGCCTGCCCTGGAGGTGACCACATGGTGTGACAGACCTCTCCTGACCCGCCCGCTGCTCCCCTCAGTAGTGTACTTCGTCGATCTGCCTGTTCTGTTCCCCACTGTCTCTGGTGAAGTCTCTCACTGCCCCTGAGCCTCTGGCTTGTACCCCAGTTCTGTATGCACAAATAAATAAATCTTTAAAAAAAAAAAGAAAAAGAAAAATCATATTTCGCATCAGACCCTGCCAGAACAATGCTGTTTTTCCCTTTCTGTTTTTTCCCAAATCTGTTATTTTATATCTGGTTCACATCCTCCTTTATGCCTGACCAATACCTAGTTATCATTTAAAACATAAATCTCTCTTGACCATTGTAGGTCACATTTTATGTTCATTTTCATATGTCATAATTCGTTATGCATTTATCTATCTACCTATCTACTTTATCTACTCTAAGTATATGTCTTTTTTCTCCATTAGACTTGAGAGAGAGTGCTTTCAAATTCATTGTTGGGTTCCCAACATATGGTCCCTGATATTTTTGGAATTTTTTTAATGAGATAACAGTGATGCTCAGCATAATCTCTAACATTAAGATTTTACCATATACATTCCTAACTTTTCTTTATAATCTGTCATGACTTTATCATCCAAACATTTTGAAAGGAAAACTCTAGTCGGGCTATTACCAGACTTAAAACAATCATTTAATTTGCTACTAATTAAGTTCAAATTTCGCAGGTTGGATTTTAAGTTCTCTAACTTGCTGCCTGCCCCAATCTATTTTTTTTTTTTTGTAACATGTATTTTGTGCTTAGCAAAAAACCTTAGGACATAAAATGTTTCCCAAAAATACCTTCCTCAGCATTTGCACTACCTTTACTCATACTGATAGTTACTTTATTTGAAATTTCCTAATTTTTCTACTACTGAAACTCTATTCTTTCTTCAAGTCAAATTGAAATACTGTTTTCTCTAAGTTTTTCCCCAATTCATCACAGTATCAGTCAGGGTCTAAACAGGAGGTAGGTATGGGAACAGAAAGACGGGAATATAAAAGTATCCAAGTAACTGAAAAGGAACCAAAAAAAAAAAAAAGGGAAAGAAAGAACATTATGAAATCATGAAGGTGGCAACCACTAAAAGCAGCCACCACCTGAAAATTAGGGAAACAAGGGAAGATCCTCAAATTGTTAAAACTTAAGAGAAGCAACTCATGGAACTGAAAACCCAAAGGGGCATTGATTTGATGGTAGTAGTATCTGAGTCTGGATGAGAGCACCAACATTTGAGACCCATGTCTTTGAGGAAGATAGATACATGTTCAGGTTGGCTCTATGAGTATTAGTGAAACCACAAACTATGCATTCTTGAATGAAAGAAGCACTGCTAGTTTGCTCACAGGAACTCTAACAGAAGTAAAAGAAAGGAACAAGTGCCTTCCTCCTCTTCCTCCTCCTGTCTTGAATCTTCCTTTAGATGCTCCTGTGGCATCAGAGTCTTAAGAAAGAGGGAAGTGAGCTAGAAAAAGCAGAAATGTGGTTTGTAGAATACAAGACCCAGTCACAGAGCCAACATGGAAGAATGAATTTCAGGTTGAGGCAACTGCTTAGTAACTGGCACATTCCTACACCACCAAAATCTAAAGTGCTATCTTTGTACTTCAGATCTTCTATATCTTCATGAAAGTAAACTTCAGGTTATAGCTATTAGTGTTTCTATAGTATACTTCCCTGCAAAGCAAAAACTTTGGAATGTAGAAAATGGCTATTCATATTCTGCATATGGCAGAAAAACACAGAACTCAAAAAAGACTAAGAATGCTTCACAGTAAATATTCTAAGAGTTCTAAGAAAATAGTAACACAAAGTAAATATGTGAACTTAATCAACCTAAGAATAGTTACTCTGTGGACTTATCAACTCTACTTAGGTTTACTTTAGTGGCTTTAAAAAAGTCAAATAAGGGCCCTCCCTGGTGCCACAACAGGTTAAAGCACAGCACTGTGAAGCTATCGCAGCTACTGCAGTATCAATTCGATCCCCAGCCTGGGAGGTGACCCACATGGTGTGGCAAACCTCTCCTGACCCGCCCGCTGCTCCCCTCAGCAGTGTACCTTGTCAATCTGCCTGTTCTACTCCCCACTCTGTCTCTGTTGAATCTTCTCAACCCCTACACCTCTGGCCCATACCCCAGTTCTGTATGCATAAATAAATAAATCTTCTTTTTTTAAAGTCAAATAATTTCGGGCCCTCCCTGGTGGCGCAGCGGGTTAAAGCACTGCACTAAGAAGCTTAAGCCAACTCCTCATGAGTTCGATCCCCGCCTGCCCGGGAGGAGATCCACATGGCATGGCAAACCTTTCCTGACCCGCCCGCTGCTCCCCTCAGCAGTGTACTTCCTCCATCTGCCTGTTCTGCTCCCTGCTCTGTCCCTGGTGAATCCTCTCACCCTCCGCATCTCTGGTCTGTACCCCAGTTCTGTATGAATAAATAAATCTTTTAAAAAAAAAAAGTCAAATAATTTCAATTTCACACAAGTTTTATTGAAGAAGCACTTGATCTCATAGTTTACTCAATGATCTGCAAAGATATGGACGGATTATATTTAATATTTACTTGACTGAAAGATGCCATAGCATCACATCAACTCCCACACTTCCCTCTGAACATAAAAGTATTTATATGCCTTAGGAAAAAAATCACAGCTGACTGATACATTTTACTTGTATCCATAGCCATAAATTAGAAATTGCAGAGGTATTTATTCTAATTTTCTTCTAAAATGTAGGATATCAAAGAGAGATAAGTAGGAATACATTTTCTAATTTACTTCTTATGTGGATTTCCATTATGCTTTAAGTTTTTCATTGCTATGTACTAAAACAACTCATTTACAATTATACTCATTTACAAATATACAACTGAACTCAGGCCAGAGATAGTGCTGAGACTTAACACCTAGGCCACCAGGGAGACCTCCATTACTCCTTCTTTGTTACCTCATGTTCATATGAATTATAGCAATCTTTGTATGCGTTCATGCATGCCTCAAAGACTTCTCTCTAGTACTAATCTCATAGGTTGTTGGGGATTAAGTGAAATAATACAGGTAAATACTTAGCCGTATGACTGACATATAATTAGAACTCAAAAGATGTTCGTAAGCTTTCATTTTTCTTAGTTTAAATGGCAGCTGACAGTGCCCAATAACATTAAATTTCAGATGCTTTTTTAAACTACTCATTATGACTACAAATACAACAGCGATAGGGCTTATCTGGAAGAGATTACCTAAACTGATACTTCCCAAGTATAAGCTACTAGAGGAATTGGAAGGCAGCTGTGCTCTCCTCTATATCACCAACAGTCCTGCTAACGCAGTAACTGGTGGGAAATCTCAACTTTTCAGTTCAACTAAAAAGTGCCTTATAATTTCAAAATAAGCCACAATATAGTACAGAGAGAAACAGCCTCATCTTCTTCCCTTCATTTTTAAAATAAGAGGTATCAGTCTTTGATGCTAATTATTCAGAAAATGGGTATTAGAACTGTAACAAACAAGGAGAAAAATTTCCATCCTTTCTCTGCTCCATTCACCCTTTCACATTTTTTCAAGATTAGAATGTTTTAAAGGTGCATTGAAGATCTAGTTTAATATATATAATCTAGTTGATATATTTTCTAGCTAGCCCATTGTTAAGAATGTTTAGGTATACTTTTCGTGCTTGTAAATAGTCATTCCATCTGAAAGAACAGCAAGGTAAAATCTTAGCCAATAGTCATTCCATCTGAAAGAACAGCAAGGTAAAATCTTAGCCGTTACTTGGAGTTGTTCCCGTTAAATAGGTTGTTATAAACATTTGCTTTTATATGTAAAGTGAATCACTGGCTAACCAGAGGCAAACTAGCCAGATCTAAACATCAGACTGACTCAATCACAGGAAAAAATTGCTTCGTGTACAAAAGTTGATTTAGGAAATGACTTCAGAAACCAGTATTTCTGTTAGCAAAAAGGATAGGGCTCAAATTAAAATAATTTAAAATGCATTAATTACCTTTGCAAATAATTCCTGTTGCTGTCTCAGTAACTCTTCCTCTGGAATGCCAAGATTTTCCAAACGAGAACTGGCCTTTCTTCTTTTTAATGCTACCGTCTTGCATTCTTGTAAGACTTCTTTTACTTCACTGATATAAGAGCCAAAGCCCAAACTTTCAAGTGCTAGGGGAAAGAAATGAAAACATGAAGGAGTAATAAAACATAGTTTTTCCCTCACCTATGAGTTGTTTTCTTTCTTTTTTTTTTTGAGAGGGAGCTTGTTGTTTTCTAACAATTTAACCATTACATAGTGATGGTTAAGAAAAATATTTATCAACTTGTTTAATATTAGGGAACAAATTATTTAGTACTTAAGTAACCTTTGAAGGCACAGGACTTAATTTTTCCTTTTCTTTCTAATTTTTTTTTAAACTATAGCATTTCCTGTAAGGAAAAAAAATCCAATGTAACATGTGGTTTTAGTAAGACAACATATTTTCTCCATAATCCTCACAGTAAATTAAACAGTCACTTTCTCAAAGAATTTTAAAAAGCAGAATACTTGGAATGTATTTATTAAAATATTTTGTACCATTTGGCTTAGAAAAAGTGGGTTGGTAATACATACTCTAAATTTTAATTGGATGGAATAAAAGAACAAATAAATTCTTTTATCCAATATACTAACAGGAAACTATTTTAACACAGATAAAAAGCACTGATGAAAATAACTTCTGTAATTCAGCATTTATATTCAGCCAACAAGTTTCCCTTGAAACTTAACAGGAAGCACTATAGTAACATTTCAAGAGATATGGCAGAAAAACTGGGTTAAAGGAACACTATTAAAGATTTAAAGAAGTATTAGAAAGTATTAGCAAAAAATTAGAAGTATTAGCAAAAAATTCTAACCCTTTATTTTTTTCACATTTAGAAAGAATATTTTACAGCACAATAATGAATGCACTCTCTTCTAAATATCTTCTGTAACCCAGACAGGCAAGGCATTATTTTTTGTTCACAGCATTTAAAATTATCTTTTATAGTTTTCTATATATTAGCTACTGCCCCAAAGGCATATTTTCTGACCCAATGATGAAATACAAGTGGTTAAAAACAAAAAGCACAACAAATGAACTTAGATCATCAGATTTGCGGTTGTTGAACTATTTTAATGAACCAAGCTGCCCTCAGTAAAGATGCCTTGAATTCTAATTTCAGGGAGAACATCAAATATACCTTTAGATCTACATTTCTATGTAAGCTGTGGCTTTCTATAGACATTTAAAATGATATATAACTTTATTTTAATGTTAGCTGCTTTTATCAATCTTCTTTAGGAACAATCTGATTTTAAAAAACAGTACTATTACTTAAACTACTATTACTATTACTAATGCTTACTACTAGATGCTTACTACTAGTACTATTACTTTTAACTAAGTTAACTTAATGTTCCCACCCCTCACAACACATCCAAAAATCTCAGGAAGGCATTATTATTCCAAGTTTTGTATATCAAATTAAAACCACCACATAATTCTTAATCTCAAGGAGCTTGGGGCAAAAAAAAATTAGGAAGCTTGCTTGAATTGACAGACTATTTTTAAAGAGCAAATGCTACAAGGTGATTTAAGTTAAACTCCTCCCTCCCCTTTTCTTAAAGGAGCAAACATAGCAGTATATTTTCAATATTGGCTGGACACAAATACGCAAAAATATCCAAACGAAGTGGTTTCCCACCATTTTCTAAAGAATCTGATTTCCTCTGTCCTACACCACGGTCCTCCAGGATCTAGCCCACCTGCCATCCCAGGTGTATTTCTGCCATTAAATACTCTTATAGTTCTGCTAAATTTGACTGCTCAGTGTTTCCAAACAGGCCCCAGTTCCCCACATTCATGCTGAAGGTTATTCATTCAAGATACAGATCAAACTCCATCTTCAAAGTAAGCTTGCTTGATCCTTCCAGACAGAAATAATCTCCCCCGTGAAATCGGATACATGAAAAATTTGAAATGTGGTTGTCACTGAATTTGTATAACCTTGGATACATTGCTTAATATCTCTAAGCTTCAGCTTTCCATCTCTAAAGTGAGAAATTTCATCTTCCTCTGAAGGTCCTAAGGCTGCCAGGATTGACCCCCAACACTGTCTCTTATTAGCTGTGTGACAATAGGTAAGTTTCTTCATCTCTGTGCCTCTAAAACACTGAATCAGGTTGCTGTGAAAAAGAAATGAGTATGAGCTTAGAATAGAGGATACCCCATAGAAGGAACAAAACTAAGTATTCATGGGTTATACTTTTATTAGTTTAAGGATTGTTGGTATCAACAATTAACCTAAAGCACAGCATCTAACATGAAGAGTATTATTTATCTTTTTTCTCTTCATGTTAAAGTGTACCCTAATTAAGTGTACAGAACCTAAATAAATGTAGTTATCCATTGTCAAGATGCACAAATTCAAGTTGAATAAATATACTTGTAAATAAAATGTTAAATTTATAAAATTAACAAATTAACATAGTAGAGGGGCCACTCCTCAAAATGTTATGAATTACTGACCAGACATAAAGAAAATTCAATTCAAAACTACAGAACTTAGGTTAAAATTTAAAACTAAACAAAAAACTTACTTTTAAAGACATTTAAAACCAAGACCACTACTTTCAAGAAATTTGTAAGTAAAATCAGGTCAATATTTAATAGTATTCAAAGTTGTTACATATAAATACCTCACTATCAATATATTAGCTCAAGAGGAATAGTCATAGGCTTAATTTAAAAAACTGCATTGATTTTAATACAAATTTTAGACACATTTTGGATGAGATGTCATTATAGTATCTTGCCAACAGGGAGATATTTTACATCATTTGCTTCCGTGTGGTAGTAACCATTCCGTTTTTACACAAAGGAAACTTCCAAGGTAAAGGAAATGACATCTAACTACGTAATATTCAGTGTACAACCATATCATATCATTCCATAAAGCATCATAGACTTGTATGCTAAAGACACCTGTCCCTGGAGGATGATAGGTGATTTTTTAAAAGAAGGATTGATTAGCTTTTTATAATTTATACAAAGAAACTCTGTGGACTATTGATGGCCCTAGTTCAAACACTCTTAGAGGAAAAGCCAAACAAAAAGAAAAAAGAAAAAAAATTCTGGGTTAAGAACACATGTAGGCCCTCCCTGGTGGCTTAACGGGTTAGGGTGCACGCACTGCAAGCCAGTTGTAGCAGCTTCAGTTCAATCCCCCACCCCCGGGATGGCTTGGCAGTCTTCTGTCTCCCCTGCTGCTCCCTTCAGCAGTGTACTTCATCCATCTGCCTGTTCTGCTCCCTACTCTGTCTCTGGTGAAACCTCTCACTGCCCCCTGCACCTCTGGCCTGTACACCAGTTCTGTATGCATAAATATTAAAAAGAAAAGGAAAAAAGGACATGTGTCGCTTGTTCCTCAGAGTTCTGCCTGCTACTCTGTTTGTGATCTGTCTTAAAACTATATCCAGAAAAATTCATGGTATATTAAGGACAGGTCTGCTGTGCCATGTGAGGATCAAACTCGTGCAGTGGCTGCTGAGAGCTTCATAGTGCTGAGACTTAACCTTTTGCACAGAATTTTAATACAGGCTTATCTTATTTTACAAAAGTGATATACTCCTGAAGTGTTTTGCTACTATTCATTTTGTAAATTACTTTATACTTCAAATGCTTGCTTTTCATCAAAAACTATAAAATAGTATTCTCTAATTTCTCTGTTTTCTATGGAGGAGAAAGGGTGGTAATGTAGTTTACTTAAAAATACTTTAAAAGGATCTAACGCCTTCTTGCCTCATTAGCCTGGCAAAGGTTTCTGAAGACCTTTAAGAACCATGTCTTCCCTGTTTTACAAAGTAGATGTGAAGTAGCTTTGAAATCAGAGGATGAGTGACTGTCACAAAATTGTAATGAAAATGAGAACCATCATGGCTGCTGGGAATCTGAACAACAAAAACTGAGAGCAGAGCAGAAAATCAAGTATCATTCACTTATATATTCTTAGGATACAGCACAGAGCCAACCAGATAGAAGTATTCAAAAGTAACTGTCAGGTAATTCAAGGAAAACAAAAACAAACTGTATAAATTTTAAGGAAAGTAACTTTGTGAAAAGCACAAAACTATGTACTAAAATGTACAAGGTAAATTACAGTGTCCTTTGGGGGAAAATACCAGTACAGATGATTATTTAAACAATATAATATTCTCATTTTCACTACAATTTTCGACAATCATTCACTCATCCTGATTTCAAAACTATTTCACATCCACTTTGCAAAATAGACTGTGGTTCAGGTTTTACAGTAAAGCTACTCAAAGTAGGGTTCATGGAGTTGTGCCAGAACAACTAACTTGTGAAGTCCATAAGTATGTAAATTTCTGTGAGCACTTAGGAACCTCCATAGCAAAAATGTAACAATAAGAGATGATAGCTGTGTAAACAACCAGTTGTTATCATTTTGTAATATATACATATATCAAATAATCATGCTATACACTTTAAACAATTTTTTATGCCATTTCTCTTAAAGCTGGAGTGAGGGGGTTAGAAACGTCATAGCAATCTGACAGCATAATTTTAGGTCTAATAAAAATTGAACTTTATCCTTCCTTCCCCCTTGTTTTTCTACGAATCCATTTCAATGTAGGTAGACTAGAACAACCCAATTTGCTAACGAAGTGAATCTTTGGAGACTTTTTTTCAAACTTTTACTACTTTCAGTTACTATTCTCGTAAATGTGAAAAAAAATAAGCAAGATATTAAAAATGCACAAAGAAAGTAGTATCATTTAAATATATATATATTTTAAGATTTATTTATGCATACAAGAACTGGGGTACAGGCCAGAGATGTGGGGGCATGGGAGGATTCACCAGAGACAGAGTGGGGAGCAGAACAGACAGACTGACTGAAATACACTGCTGAGGGGAACAGTGGGCAAGACAGGAGAGGTCTGTGCTGCACCATGTGGGTCAGCTCCCTGGCTGGAGATTGAACTCATGCTGCAGTGGCTGTGGATAACTTCATAGTGCTGTGCTTTAACCCGCTGCGCCACCAGGGAGGGCCCCTGCTTAAATATTTTTATTTACACTTTGGTTTTATAAATGGCAGCATAATATAAGGTTAAACATAGCAACAGACTTTCTGTTCTATATTTTAATTAATATTATGTACATTTTGAAAATTATAATTTATTGTAGCATAGTTCATGTAAGGACCTCAACTCTGACTGATTCCCAGTAACTGCAAATTATACCTGAAATCAGTGGTATTATTTATACGTAAGTGGGGTAACCTTACAATTTGCCTAAGGCCAAAGACTTTCCAGTACACAACTTGAAGCTCCTGACTCAAAGTCAATTCTTTCCATAATGCTGCAGAACATGTTAGAACTCATTGAAGAATATATGTTCACATAAACCAGCAATAAAATAAGACATATCTTTTGAAAGCTTTTAACTCCCTCTATTTCTGTATCTTCAACACCAAGTCTACTTTAATATACTCAAAATAAGCAAAACATTTAGCAATCACTTTTTAATTGTTTTGCCACATATTTACTGGTCAATGAAACTAATTCAATTTTAACTTGCATCTTACAAAACTGCCTCAAATACTTAATTTGCTCTGACAAGGTAAAGCAAAGTGGCAAGGTGAACTAGAGAAATGTCCTGAAGCAAAGTGAAGTTCATTAAATTTATTATTAAAAAAATCCAAAGTTCAAAATAAGAGAATTCTATCACTTTACATTAGTATTCACCTGGATATCTTTTGTTCCTATATAATGAAAGCTACCAGGAAAGTATTATAAAAAGTCTTATCTACATGGCTTACCAGCTTTACAGAGTTAGTCTGTAAAAACACACTTTTAAATAACACACAAGTGCATGTACACACACACACCCCCTAAAGGATGTCTTAAAAAAAAAAAACCACTCAAGACAAAAATTCTTTAAAATGATTAAGCAATGTGCAGTTAATGCATAAAATCTGTTCTCCCAACTGGGGGGGAATCTAGGCCAAAAATATAGGTCCTTATACACTTAATGGCAAAAATAAAAGGTAAATTCATAAATCTGTAACAGGTCAAAACAGGAGATGTAAGCCATCCAATGTACACAAAGGAAAATGGTCTTTCATTGGAACCTTCTGACTCACATGTTGATCTGAATTTAGAATATTTCAAAGTTGAGCTATTTAGTATACCATTTGCTACAGCTGCACTTTTATTCCATCATGTCAATCAGAAATCTAAATATATCCTAGAAAAGAATAAACTCTACCCAAGAAGACAGATTGTAATGTATTATTAGATTTTTGGAACCATACCCACTTTTGTGGTGTCAACAAATGTTTAGGCAGATCCTTTTGAAATCTTTTGCAATTTTCATTAGAAAGGCAATGTTGATAAAGATTTTTCTTCTTTTATATGAACTGTAGAAGAAAATTACAGCTATCTGTGTTGGATAATCTTGTGAAAGACTTATGACAACAATTACACACAGAATGCAAAAAATAAAAACACCAGAGGAAAAATAGACAATTTGGCTTTCATTTTATGTGACAGGGTGTTCAACACACCAAATGAGTAGAGGAAAAAAAATACCAGCTTTAAAATCAAATATGGATTTTACTAGGGACTTTGTTACTCCTTGTTTACTGAAATGGAATTAGCAGAGAAAATTTTAAATATACCTTACCTTATATCACTAAAGATCAAAAATGAATCATTCGATCCTTTTGTCAATATTGACAGTAACATATTGGATATGAATATAAGCAGATGGCCTCTCCACCTCAAAATAACAGGAAAGACACCTTTAAAAGTAAAATGGCAGACAACTACCTGTCTATCACAGTGATTAAAATAACCACTTTTTTTTACTTCAAAAGCAATGAAGAAATGGTTAGAAATCTGATTATAAAGGCAAGCTCTCACTTCAAAATGAATACAGCTTTTTCTTAAGAGCACATGTAAAAGTCACAGAACTTGATTTTCCAAAATACTATTTATTAGTGTTTCTCCACCCCGGAGACAAACTATGAGAATATGGTTCCATAAATGCCTGGACTGGACTAAATCCTTTCCAACATAGAAACTGTTGAAACTTTCCTTAGTCCTGTTCAGTAAATTTAAGTGTATATTCACCTAAGTGGGAATGGCAGCAGGGAAGACCCAGGGAAAATTCCATGGTGGGAGAGGAAAAATAGTAAAACAAACTCACAATCTTTTAGTCCAAGCTTCAAAAACCTATCTCCATTGAACAAAGCCAACCACATTAAAAAAATAAATAAATAAAGAGAGGAGGGAAGAAATGGGAAGGCGAAAAAAGGGGAAGAAAGGAAGGGGGAGGGAGAGAGTGAATGATCGAAGAACTTTCACCCTCGCAGAAAGGAAGTGGAGGCTTCGGTAACTTGATGAACCAGGGTCACTACACTATTTTCAAATCAGAAAGCATACTTCCTTTATCCACTGAAACTCACATCAGTAAGTGTCACAACCTTGAACACATTCATGTTAAGAATTTCTTCACTCCTGTATTCGAAAGAAATTCTTTCCTCTACACTGGAGAAAAGATGGGGAGGGAAAAAGCCCGCTGCCTGCACTCCGGCCGTAGGTTTCGGTCTAAATTTACATTTTCCAAGGGAGAACTTCTAGGTTCTTTTCCATTGCCACGATCTAGGTTACACTGCAGGCACGCAGTCCTTCAGTTACCATTTCTAGGTTCCACCTCAGACAGGCAAAACGGCCGCTGCTCTGGCTCCCCGGGCTGTAAATTGAGACCACGACTACTACCTGATCTCTGGAGGCTGTTACCGGACCTACACGCTTCCAGCCCGTAACTGTAGAAACTTAGTGAAGAGTACCACGACACTACTACATATAGACGTTCTCAAGGCACCGGCTGCTCCGAGCCCTCGTGGCTTCTCTTACCAGTACCGGGCAGGGAAACGAAGGCTCTGACACAACAGGTCACGCGCCCGGCAGGCTGTCCCCCAGACCCTCAATTAAACACTTACCCCACTCTTAGAGCTTACCTTGTATGACATGCTCTGGTGAGATGGTCTTCTTTTCCGATTTGTTGCAGATCTCGTTGGCTTCGGAAGATATGAGGTGAATGAATTCAGTGCAGCAGTTCACCACCAGCTCCCGCGCATCGTTGGCCACCCGGACATTTGGGAGAGTCTCTTTGATCATCTTATTGATAGCAGCTCTGGGTATCGTGAGATCATCATCGTTGCCAGAAGAGGAAGCCATCGTACCTTCCTATCTCTCACGCCCCTACTTTTATAAACCCAGCTCTGGTCCACTGCCCCACGGAGATCTTTTAAAAGGCCGCCTTCCGAGACCGATCCCGAGGCTCGGGAGAGTGCAGAATGTGAAGGTGGGGGGAAGGAGCAGGCTCGCTCGCGAGGGCGGGGAACACCCGTGTGTGTGATTTAGGGGAAGGCTGAGAGAAAAGTCTAAGGGCTGAGGATTCTGGGGACAGCACTGCTGAGGTCCAGGAGAGGAAAGCAAGGTGGTGTGGAAATTTGACCACTGGGGAACCACCTTCGTGTCTTCTCAGAGGGGCGGACGCTATCGCCTGACCAGTTCCCAACGGCGCCGGAGCAAAGGCAAGGTCCAGGGACACCGGCCTCGCGGCGGTACCCAGCGGACACCCAGCAGGCTTGGCTCTATAGAGCCGGAGCCCCCGCTGCCGCCGCCGCCAGCAGACGTTGCCGCCGCCTCCGCCAAACCATCCTTCAGACACCCGCGCCGCCGCCTCACAACATGTCGGACGCGACCGCTGCCGCTGCTGGAGCCCGGGCGGCCGCCTGGGAACGAGTAAGGGCAGAGCGAGGCACAAGGGGAGCGGTAGTGGCGGCCGCCGTGGCAGTTTAGCCCGAACGCAGACGGTGGAAGCCGAAGCCGAGGCAACGGTGGTCCCTCCAGAGGCCGGGGAAGAAGGTTTGCTGGAAGTCTCTCCCGACACCCTTTGCGCGACCGGAAGCTTCGCCCCCCCGATTCCCCTCCCTGCCAGACTGACTTCCGGGTGTGGCTGTCGCCCTTCCCCCACCCGCGACGGCGGGTAACGCCCATCCTCGCCGCCAACTGCTTCCGCCAGCCGCTTTCCCGACACGCGCCCGGCGATCTTGGCCTTTCACAGGGCTCCAGGTCGGGCGCGGGTTCGCCTTGCGGTATCCGAGAGCCCAGAGCTCGCGACTCGGGCAAGGGTGCGTGGGTGGACGAGCTGGGCTGCCAGGCTTCTGCGGTCCCTCAGCCGACTGGGATTTCGAAGCCCCTCCCCCGCCATGATCGGAACAAAGGAAATCAGGGTTTCGTTAAAATAACTTTCTTATATCTTAGAGATCCCGGGTTGGAATAAAGAACGAAGAACGAGGGTTGGACCCGGGCCCACACTATCTGTGTGGTCTGCACGTGCGTTGCGCGCGCGCCCCTGAATAGCTTTTGCTATCTGCTAGACGCATTCAGGTCAAAGAGCTCCTCGTGTTTTATGGGAAAGGAAACATTCAGGGAAGTGGCTTGCCTCCTCAGTCACAACTAATGGCTAATCCGGAAACTGGAAATAAGACCCAGCCTCGTGAACTTTCAGAGTGTACAGCGAGCAACGTTAAAAGATTCGAACTTGGGTCATTTTTCATGGCATTTTGCTTTGAAGAGAGAAAAAAGTATCTTAAGCAACTGATTGTACCTTCCCTCCAGGGTAACTAGTAATATCAGTGAGCGTCAAATTCGTCACCCAAGTGTTATTTTTAAAAACCTTCTGTACTCATTTTGGAGTGGTGCAATTTCTAATAAAGGAGAATATTAAATCAGCGTGGGCATTTTAATCAGATACATTGTTATTAATCCACAGGACAGCAACTGGCATATTCGAAATGGTTTTCTTAAAAACCGTTTTTATTTTTATCAAGAACTCTAGTGGTGCACCTTAATTAGACCCTAATTACACTTATTTTCATTCAGCATTTTCTCCTGTCACTTGCCATCAGCATTTTCTCCTGTCACTTGCCATTTCTGTAATTTAACAGGTGTCGCTTTGTGAGTGCTACTAAATTTAGTCAAATTTTCTTTGATAAAATAACATTTAACTTTTTTCTTCAAAATAGAAATGGAAACCTGTTGGTTTAGATGTTGGCTTTAATAAAGTGTTACTTTGTAAGTCAATTTATTGTTGGTTTAAAGAATTGTCAGAATTTGCTTTGGCCTTATCAAGTATATTAGTCTGGAAAAGCTAGCTAGCAAAAAAATGTTCTCAGCGATGTCACTGACCCAGATGTTACCATTTCTGGAAAAAAAAAGTAAAACGATGTAGATTTTAAAGCTTCTGAGCCATAGGTCAATAGAACACACTTTTTATTTCAGTAATGGTTCATTATTACAAGTTTCTGTAGTAACAAAAACATGGACTGTTTATACTAAGAGATCTAGGTTCTAGCCGATTTCTGACTTTCAAAAGCTAACTCTGATAGGCATGTTCTTCAGCTGAAATGGAAGTAGAATTTAACTCAGCATTCAAAGTCAATTGAGACTATATGTAAAGGCACTGAACATTACAAAGTATTATATAGATGTTAGTGTTAACATTTTTGTCGCGTCTAGGCAGTTTTCAGTAGTAATCTATATATCACAGGACTGAGAAAATATAAACTGCAATGTGAGATCATGAGATAGGCTAATTTGGATCCCATATTTAGCTACCTATATAGTATAATACCTCTCTTTTCTAAATTGGACCTTGAAATTAAGGATAACATCTTACTATAAGAGTTTTATCAGAAACTCAAGGAGACCAGTTAAAATATAGTTTAAAAAAGAAAAAAGGCTTTAGCATATATATGAAATAATTTTTCATGTTATCCCAAAGTTAACAATATAAAACAAAACTTTACAGCTGTTTTTAAGATGAATTAGGCTAAGTCTACAGTAATTTTTAAAATGTGCTAATTTGTACATGTTCAGATTTTCATTACTGACATTATAACTTGTAATTTGAAGTAATATTCTCCATTATCCTCACCTGCCCTGGTTGAGCTCACCAATTACTAGTAGGTGATAATAGAAAATTAAAAATTAATGACATCTAACAGATAATTCTTTTGTGCTTAACACCATGTTAAGTACTTTTACTTTTGTGCTTAACACCGTGTTAAGTACTTTTACTTTTAAGTACTTTTGATTGATCAAATTAAGATAGGAGTCGTGTAAGTTTGCATTTAAAAGGCAACTTATTTATGCAGATACTGATAAACAGACATGAAAGGCAAAGACAGATAAAAACCTGGCTTCAGAGATACCCTGGCTAAATCTAAATTGACAGGTGATTCTGATCATATGCCTCTGACATCATTGCAGGCATTGGACTTTAGCAATTTGAGATGCCTCTGGACATCATGCTAATAGTCTTAAAGCCTTCTCCAACCTTGGGGAACACTACAAGGAACTTTTACTTTGAGGTGTGGCCTTCACATTTCTGTAAGTGGAAGCCAGCAGGAACTCTCTAGGCCAACTTTAGGCCCATTATGCATGGCCAGTCTCCAGAACTTTGCCAAGTAGTTCATTACCTTCCCCTTTTCCTGCTGTCAATTAAAATTGTTTGCTTATATTGTAAAGTGTGCTCCCACTAATAAAATTATATCCTGATTATATTCATTTTGGTGTGGTTAGTGAAGCCTTGGAAATTAGCATTCTAGACATCCCAAATCTAATGTAATATTTACATAAGTACCTTTAGCTGTGTTACCTCATTTAATCCTCAGAGTAACTTTTTTTTAAAAAAAAGATTTTTTTTTTTTTAAATGTAGAAGAACTGGGGTATATAGGCCAGAGGTGCCTGGTAGGGGTGAGTGTGTGGGGGAGGGGGCAGGGGGAATTCACCAGACAGAATGGGGAACACAATAGGCAGAGCTACTGAAAAGCACTGCTGAGGGGAGCGAGGGAGCGAGAGCAGCAGTGGGCAAGACAGGAGAGTTCTGCTGCGGCCTATGGGTCAGCTCCCTGGACGAAGATCAAACTCTGTTGTGCTGCAGTGGCTGGGGATTACTTCATAATGCTGACACTTAATCCCTTGTGCCACCAGGGAGACCCCCTCAGAGAAACTTTTAAAAATAGGCACTGTTTTAATCTCCATTTTACAAATAAGGGAAGTAAAGCTTCGGAAAGTTAAATTTCCTGAAGTTAATATAGGCATCAGGATAAGCTAGTTCATGTTTCAAGAAGAAAAATCTGCATATAAGAAAAAAGTTTATTTCTTGCTCCTATTTTGGTCAGCAAAAGGTCTTAACATATAGTTACTCAAGAATCCACTAAAATGTGGACAAATAAAGGAGTATTGAGATATAGGTTTATTTTGTTTGTTTTAATGGGTAGAGAGGAAGAAAGCATTTGTGTTCAAAGTAATAGCAAATTTGTGGAGAAAATTGTTCTGGGAGACAAAAACTGGTTTGGGAACAGGGAGATGGTTGCCTCAATTGAAGTAAAAGCATTTGTGTCATTCAATGGTGAGAGAGAAGTGAGAACGCTAAACACACAGGGTAGCAGAAGTAACAGAAACAGAGAAAAGGAGAGGAGAGCTTAGTTGTAACAAGGGCAACAGAAGGAGGGAAAACTTTAGGGCATCAACTTTCCAGCAAAAGAACTAGATCACCAGAATGCTGATATAGCAGGCTTCCATGAAAGTTTCCTGCACTTCTTTCCTTCCTGTGTATCTTCATAATAGCCATCTAAAAATCCTGTATTTTCTTCATTTGCAACTTGAAGGAGCCTCAGATGTGTGTTTGACTTCTATTCTGCCATGTAACTAGTGTTGGGCAGGGCATTTAAACTCTTAACTTCTCTTATCTATAAAATAAGATACCTGTTTTACAGGGGTGATTTAAAAATCTAACGACGTAACATATGAAAAGTATTTAGCTCAGAACTTAGTGCCTGATAAATTGGCACTGAAATGAAATAATGAGTGGGAAAAAGATGAATCTAAAAATTATTTCACAGAGTTGAAAGCAGCTTACAGTTTTTCTTCTAGATAGTCAAACAGATTAGTCAAATATAATTACAAGATTTTAAACATCAGAAACTGGGATTAGGGATTAAGGTAATGTCAAAAATAGCAAAATTAAAGGGGAGTAGTTGAGAGAAGATATGCTTGCTTTTCCAGCTGTTTAGGTTTGAGGCAACAGTAGACATTTAAGGAACTGACATCCTTAAAGTGGTAGAAAAAGAAGACAAGATGACATCTGACTCGCCTCATTCAACAACTTAGTGTCTACTGTTGGATGCGGGAGAAATAAAGATGAGTCAGTCTTTCTTGTTTTTAATTTGTTGAGAAAATCATAATATAAACTAGATTGAAACAAAGTACTGTTGTAGGGCCTCCCTCGTGGCATGGGGGTTAAGGTCTCAGGGCTATCAAGCCACAGTGGCCTGAGTTAGATCTTAGGTCAAAAAGCTAACTGCTCCCCTCAGCAGCATATTTCAGTAGATCTCCATGTTCTGTTTCCAACATTGTCTCTGGTGAATCCTCTCACTCCCACCTCCCCCACCCCCAGCACCTCTAACCTACACCCCAGTTCTTGTAAGCATAAATAAAAATAAATCTTAAAAAAAAATACTGTTGTAGATATAGGAGCTAAAAGTATACCAAGAGAGAACAACTAACATATCAACAGGGAGGAAGGAAGGCTTTATGGAGGGAGGTCTCAACATTTTAACTAGCCTTGAAAATTGAGTGGAATTTTGATAGAGAAGAGCTGAAGAAGAAACAAAACACATCATATTAATTGTAATCTTTAAAATAATAGGCATAAATATGTATGTACTTTATAATATAACAAAATACAACATGGTTATTAGAACACTATGAAACTATATATAATCATGTGGATATAAGCTGGATAGAAATGTAAAAAATAACAAATAACAGGTGTTTTGGAATTGAAAGGTGATCGGTAATGACTTCTGATATTTCTTTAAAC